AAAAAATGAGGATATGCAGTGTATAATGAAAAAAGAAAGAAAAATTTTTTACCATACAAAAAATAATGAACATTAAACTTCAAAATACTTTTAAAAAGTAATTCTACAGATATGGATAGTAAAGTTAGTAGGTACCATATAAGATGAAAAGTTTTTTTAAAAAAAATTTAAGAAAAGAAAACATTTCCGCTCTTTCAAAGCCTTATGTTTTCACTTGACTTGAAACCCTTTTACCTGGACTTGTTTTTTAAAAAGTCATATATATATGGAAAGTACTTAGGAAAACAATTTCCTGCAAACAGCCTAGACGTCAAGCTGACTGATTTATGCCCTGGCATATCTTCCGGTGCATGTGTCTGGATTGGCTACCTCGAACAAAATCTCAACAAAAGACAGGTCCAATGGAGGAAAAGATATAAGAAATCAGGTTGTGTAATAGGACAAAGCTATTATTTATGGCCAGTCTGATTGCCTTGTCTTCTAATCTTCCTATTACGTCACTCTATTCTCAATTTGTCTCGGTCAGTCCAAGTACATATTTCTTTTTACAGTAGCTGTACTGCCCGCCTGGCCTTATCTTTCTCTTTCCCTTTCTAATTTAAAAGTTTTCATAATTAGTCGAAGTTACTATTTATGGTCCAGTCTGACTGCCTTATCTTCTAATCTTCCTACTACGTCACTCTGTCCCAAATTTGTCTCGGTCAGTCCAATCCATATTTCTTTTTAAGCTAGCTGTACTGCCCACCTAGCCTTATCTTTCTCTTTCAATTTCTATTTTAAAAGTTTTCATAATTAACTACTACCAAACCCCTTTTTGTTTTTTCTAAGTGATATCTGGCCATGGGGCGGGGATGGCCGTTCCCTTTCAAGTTTTCATAATTAACTACTACCAAACTCCTTTTTGTTTTTTCTAAGTGATATCTGGCCATGGGGCGGGGATGGCCGTTCCCTTCCTGCCTTGAAAATTTTATTATGTTTTTATCCTTTGTTTCGCAAAAAGTAATATTTTTCATATAATTCCAGAGTTAAAGAAGGACGGGGATTTTAGCGGAGTATCAGAGTCTTATTTAATTTTTTATTTTTATTATATCTTACTCTATTTTATTATTAAATTTTAAATTATAATAAAAAATAATAGTTCATATAAAAAATAAATCGTAAAAGTCAATAATCACATATTTTATATAAGGTATAATTATAATTTTAAAAATAAAATTAGCAAATGCTATTATCGTCCCACCTTCATTTAAAATAAAATACAGAATGAGGCACCCCTACCTCATTTTTCAATCAATTCAAAGAATCCAACGTTTATCGAGCGGGGCAGAACAAAGCTTCGTTGAGGGGAAGCAAATTACCATCCCTATACCTACCAAAGATCAGGAGGGTAAGGCCTCTACAAGTATTTGCGGCTTTGTGGTTGTTGCTCTTATTTCCTGTTCAATCCATCAGCTTGTTTCTATCCTCGGTCAATTTTTATTTGATTTACTGTAATAGTCCCTACGCATAATGTTATGTTACTCAACGGGTCCTTCTGTGCTAGTTTGTGTCTATAATCTAATGGTGGTTTAAAATGGTCAAATGTAAACCATTTAGTCGTTCATTTTGATTGAAGGAATAGATACACTACAGGACTGAGAACATAACATTCAAGGACCAAATGAGTTATGAGAGAAGTGCAGGTTTTGAAGTTATAGAAAATCAGATAAGTCCAAGGACTAAAATCAGATAAAATTGATATTGATATAAACCATCTCACCTGCCTTTTCTTTCCAATTCCATATTTTCATTAGAATAAATGAATTTTAGATCCTGATATACAAATGGTTTAGGTTTCTCATCGATCTTATGGTTAAACAATGGACATATTCGATTTTTGCAATACAGACTAAGGCCCATTGAAGCAAGCTGTGCTTTTGATGGACCAGTTTGAGCCTGAGAATTTTTAGATCGGCTAGGGCATGGGTTTCAAGCATGTTGATCCCAGCCGATTACAATTAGTTTTGACTTCTGAGTTCTGTGCATTCAAGCTCCGAATGGCCCAGTGCGTTATCTTTTTCACCAGTCAGCTACTCAGTTTGCTGTCTTCAACTGGGTTATATAATCTTCGTTAAATTACAAAAATCCAATCTGCACTTTTCAAGTTTTGATTTCTCCTTTAATTTTTTAAGCCTCTTTCAATAGCACATTTTTCTCAGTGTGTTTCCGTAGTAATCACGGTGGTGAAGTAGATGTTGTCAACATATTTCAATCAATTTATACAGTTGTATTATTAAATTTATTTTCTCCATCGTTTTATTCTCTTGACCGAAAGATGTGGCTTTATCTTGTGGTTTAATGTGATTAAAAAGAACTAAGTAAACTGAGAATATATATATATATATATATATATTATTTTTCCAAGAGTCAAGCTGGCCCAAAAGTTTCAAGCTCATCTTGGGTCAGGTTCAAGCACGGAAGTCATCATTGAACTTCGGGCAGCCTGGCCCTTGTAAAAATGTTTGCTAGACTAGACAGCCCGGCAGCGAGTATACAAATAGCAGATGGACCTATCTAACACATTATAGAGCTCAGCCATCATCAGATGCGATTGGGTTAGTCTGTGGCATATTTTAAACCAATTTACAAGTAAGCCGATAAATCCATGGCCTTACATTTTCTACAACTAGCCCAATTTTCACTTTCGATATTCAGTTCTAAATTCATGTCTCTTTGGGGTTGGATAATTCACATTTGTTAGCTCCATTTATTGTATTTTCTTTTTCTAAAAACCAAATACTAAAGTTTAAATGATTTCCATATTATAAAAAAATCGAACATTTCTTACATCCAAACTAACATTTCAAATAATTCTTTTTGGAAAAGTTAAAATCTTGTGATTTTCTTTTGACTAGGTGTGTGTTACCTCTATATTCATGTATGTAAGATTATTCTCGATGAAATTGTTCCTTAAGTAGGTTATTCAATCCAAACAGATGCATTAAAAAAATATAAAATAAAATAAATAAAAATGAAATGAATAAAATAAAACTGTGGCCTTTTCAGGGTTTGGGCTTCAGGACAAGAAAACTCACCAGGATAATGGTTGCAAGGGTCTTTTTACTTTTATTTTATTGTCTTAAGTTTATTTTTCTATGTTTTGGTTTATATTTTAATCTCATTCCTCCGTTAACTTTTAAACTAATGGTGTTAACCTTTTTTTTTTTTTTTAATCTCATCCTTTTGCTATATTTTTCCATCTTAGTCCTTTTTTAACTAAATTTAAATAAAGAAATATTAGAAAATAAAAAAAATAAAAAATGAAGATATATCTAGTCATTCTCTATAAAAATTAAAAAAAAAACTAAAAAAAAGATGAAGCTAAATTTTTTTAATCCAAAATATCCTTTTATTTAAATTTAAATAAAAGGATATTTTGGATAAAAAAATTTAACTTCGTCTTTTTTTAAAAAAATTCATTTATTTAAATTTGGTTTTAAAAAACAAGATTAAGATAGAAAAATAGAATTGAAGGATGAGATTAAAACATAAAAATAAAAGTGGAGATAAGATTAAAAAAAAAATGTAGAGGGATGAACTTAAGACAAAAAAGAATAAAAGGAAATGGACAAAAAAATAGAAGAATCTCTCCAACCATTAACCCAAAATTTACCCATACACCCCTGCGAGTCAATCATTGGGCCATGTTTTTAGATTATTTTAATTTGGCCTAAAATATTTTTCTTTGATAGTTATTTCTTTGTTCGACTAAATTATAAATTAGCCTTTCTTGTTTTAAAAAATAAAATAATTAATCCTTCTAGTTTTAAGAACTAGTCACTTCTATCATTTAAATTTTTTTTAGATGTGTCAAATTAACACCTAACATCTAAAATATCATTGAACATATATATCAATCGGTGAGGATATGTTTTGATATTTGAGGAGATAGAAAGAGAGTAGAGATTAATAAAAGGAGAAGTAAAAATTTGAAGGGGGAAGATATGAGGAGAAAAATGAGGATTTATTTTGATACTCATGGAGAGAGAAAGGACAGTATATATATATATATATATATATATATATATATATATATATATATATATAATTGAATGAGAGAAATGGAGTAGATTAATAAAAGGAGAAGTAAAAATTTGAAGGGAGAAGATATAAGGAGAAAAATGAGGATTTATTTTGATACTCACGGAGAGAGAAAGGACAATATATATATATAACTGAATGAGAGAAATAAGACATAAAAAAGGTAATTTATAAACAAAAAATACCATAGTAAGGACACTCCATCACCACTCTAACCAAAAAATGATTAAAAAAAAATTAAGTTAATAATGGAACAAAAATTTAAAAGACTAAATAATTAATTTTTGAAATAAAAGAAACTAATTAATTCATTTCTTAAAACAAAAGGACTAATTTATAATTTACTCTCTTTGTTTTTTGTTTACAAAGGCAAGACTATAAACAAGAGAATTCTCGGGAAAAAAAGGAGACAAGTATCTATTCAGTAGAAACGAATTAATTAGAATATTGCCTTTTGCTCCCATGGAATTTGAATTTGGCTAATGTATACATATAAACAGAGAGAGTGGTAGATCTGGACATTAGCACAAAGGAACAAATATGTAATTATCTACATAAATTAACCTGGGCAAATGGAGAAAATTCCATTTATGGGGTAAAATATCACTGAAAATCACGATTGAAGAGCTTCACCACAAAAGGTTTAAGCATAATGAAAGCTAAAGTGAAGGAACAAAACCAAGATAATTAATATTCTCTTTATTCTTAGTTTTCCAACTTCATAGATGTCAAAGGTTGCTCTTTCCATACATTAACAACTCAGGAACGCATATATGTATACATCCACTTGAACAGTGAAGACTGTCAAAAATATAAAAAGCATCTAGGGCTAGTATATAAATGCCCTAATCGTTTATATTATATAGTATTTATATATGGGCTAAAACCTAATATTGCCCCAAACACACTAGAATTTAAGATTAAGCTGCAGATGGTAGATTCATGTGGTTAACCACTCCATCCCCAGTCAATGCCGCTATCAGGGATCCGAGTTTTTCTTGATCAACGGGCACGGTAATATTCTTGTAGTCCAACGACTCATCCTCGTATATTTCCCACCACTTTTTCACCAAAACCTTGATGTCCTCTCTATCCATGTTTTCTTCCTTGCCAGTATACCTCCATGGCTTTGCACCCTAACGATTTGAACAAAAATGAAAATCCAGTAAAATATAATGTACACATCAATATGTTAGAACTTACAAGAACACTAGTTTTCGGGATAGATTAATTTTCTTACCCCAGCACAATAGTGGACAACCTTCACATTGTCAAGGTCGAAATTTTCAGGATGGCGCCATAACATAGCCGAAACAAGGTTGTACACAGGAGGGATAGGCTTGTACACATCCCTGAAGAACATGTTCAGAAAATCCTGCAAATCACAACCAAAATCAAAGAGTGATAAATTAATAACAGAAAAGGAAAATCTACCCGTTATTTTTGGAAGGTGCAAAAAATCAGGTTATATGTATAAGATTTTATTTGTACGTACCTCGAAAAAATCCTTACAAAACAATAACAAAAATACATATATCCTCTACCAAGATCAATTACCTGCTCAGCAAATGAAGTAGGAGGGGTGACTTTGAGGGTCTCCAAGAGATCCAAGTAAGTCAGGAGATTAGGCTCAAAGAGAAACATGCCAGCATTAAAGTATAAAGGAGGGGTGAGCCCATCTCCTTAGGCCACTGAACTTTTTCAGGGCATTGCTGGCAGTATCCAATCTGATACTGAGGGGTGCTACTCCATGTCTTCTCGCAGAAACAGTCCATCACAGCATAGAAATATCCATTCGGCTCATCAAAAAGATGATCAATATTGTCAAAGACTTGAATATCCCCATCCAAGTATACCATCTTCTCATAGTTAACAAACTACAAACAACGGGGAAAACACGTATTAGATAGTAAATTAAAGGCCCTGACGCCACATAAAAAATGTAGACCTATCATGAAAAAAAAAAAAAAAAAGAATCTTCATTTAGTTGGGGATATATGTCATATGTGAATATAGCCCACGTTTACAAAATTGCATGGCTAATGCCTGATGACAAACAACAATAGTAACATATCAAGAGAAGAATAAAAGATGATTAGGATTGATTATCTACTTAATTACCTCCCAAATACGAAGTTTTGAGTAGTTAATCACATAATAAGCCATGGCAAACTGAGTCTGGTTTTCTGGTGGACACACTGGCTCAATCTCATGGACGACACAGCCCTGAGATTCTAGAATCTTGCGGTGGTCCTCAGGCACATCAGGCAAAATAGCCACCACAAGAGGGTATGCAGATTTCGCTTTCCTTAAACCCTTAGCTAAACCTACAACACCTTTCACATAATCACCGTTCCCAGCCAAGAAAGTAACATATGCCCTCTTACGGGAGTCCATCGTGGGCTCGGTTATGGCAGTAGGAGACATTTTTTAAATTAGGAGATCAAGAAAGATGATCAAAAACAAAGAAAGCAAAGAAACACTAATTGAAGTTGGGTATGGGTTTTAGGGTTGTGGGATATGCTCGCTATATATAGATAGGCATCGAGTGGTGAAAATGGCAACGAGCTAAATGAGCGTAAGATGATATTTTTCGTATCCATTTGAATAAAAGTTAATTTAGATTCCAAAACGTGGCAAGCAATGGTATGTGGTTGGTTTTTTTGAGGTTACACTTGCCAATTAGAGCATTTGACACCTTAAAAAAGGAGGGCTATGTTTGGAGAAATTTTATAATACATCGAAATTAATTAGTAGCATGTACAGTACTCTATGGATTTACTTTGAAGAGAGAGTAGACACGATAAGAAGATTTTCACGTTCGCTCAAATTTTTTTATTTTCTCTCTCTTTTTTTTTTTTATGTCTATCTCTTTTATGAAAATGGACCCATAAAATAACTATTATATATGTTACTAGTTAGTCCCGGCGTATTATAAAATTTCTTCTACGTTTGTCCTTTTTTGTTTATTTATTTATAGCTTAAAAAGAGAGAGAGAGAGAGGCAGCTTTAGTCTTTAAAGGTTTTGAAGGTCAATAAGATAATTAGGAAAATTTCTCAACTTATAGAAGCTAGAAGAATATTGTACCCGTCCTCAATAATTAATGACATCTATACTTAAATGCATCCAATTTGCGTAGGATCTACCTATAACAAGCAAGTCTTATCACATAATATTGCAAGGAAAATGGTAAAAAAATGTCTTTGACTAGTTAAGTCAAGAGTTCGATTTCACTATGGTAGAACTCCCTTTTCTTTGTGTGAAACTAAACACAAGTTGTTGGTGGATTCAAAAAGTCTCATTTTAAAATCGAATAAAAATTAGAAGTGATTTGGCCCTTATCTAGTCTAAAAATTAGTAGAATTAATTTTAATTAATTAATGTAAATCTAGATAAAAATACTTATATGTAAAGCAAGTCTTAATATAAAAATTATTTTAGTTATTACATGGTTGAAATTTAAAATTTCATTGGTCTTATGGTATGGCCATTCGGGATAATGAATCATGATGCCAAACCAACCACTAGACTAGGATTCAAGCCTTGGTATTATAGTTTTAAATTGCGAGATACGATTGGAAAAATGATAATGATTCGATTACGGATCGTTAGTTATTATAGGAGTAAAATAATGATCATGACAATCGATATTATGAATACATTAATAATTATTAATAAGTTTATTCTAATTTACATATATTTTTTTAATAATTTTATTAATTAAACATAGTAAATTAATAATATTTCTAATAGTTTAATAACGTACAAAAATAATTGAATTTATTATAAAAAATAAATAAATAACACTTTTAATAGTTTAATATTACAAAAAAAATAACATATATTACAACTTTAAGATACACATTATTTTTTTTAATCTAGTAGTTGATATCCATTAAGTAATGGCAATAATGACATTATATAACGATGAATGATCGTTATTTATGTGAAATGATATTAAAATTCCTATAATAGTGAATAACAATAACGAGATATATCCACACTACAAAAAAACTATCAAATAGCGACGGATAAATTTTTGTCATTAAATAATAAACAAATAGCAATAGAATAACGTTTATTGGAATGAGCAAAGGTATAGAGATGGATTAGTGATGATTTAGTAGCAAGAGACACCAATCCGTTGTTAAATTTGATAGCAAAATGTTTTCAAAACTTTTAGAGACGATTTAGCGACTAATTTGTTAGGAAATATAGTGATAAAATTGCTTAGAGATGGACATTCCATCGCTAAAATAAATATCCTTCGTAATTTAGTGACAAAAAATTCCATCGCTAAAAGTGAAATATTGGATAGACTTTTTGAAAGTCAAAATCGCTAAATTAATGATAGATTAGAGATGGACACTTAAGTTCGTCGTTATATGTAAAAAAAAAAGTGCAACCAACTTTAATTATTTAGCTACCCATTTTTCGATAAATTGGCGATGGCATGCAAGTGTCCGTCGTTAATTAACAATAGATCAGATGAGGATATCACATCCGTAGCTATTTTTTAATTTCTAATTAAGCCCTTTTCTTCTTTCTCCTCCCTTATTCTTTTCTTACTCTCCTTTTCCGATCGGTCGCCGGTCTCCCCCTTTCAACCACCACAAAACTCCACTCTTCCACTCTCAATCAATCCACACTCACTCCAAGCTCTTTTCTTCCAAAAAATCCTCATTTTTCCATCCCTCATATTGGTGTAATTCCACTCAAATCAGGTAAAAAAATTTTCTTTTAATTTCTTAATTAAAATTAGTAATTTGTTATAATTGTTAGGTTAATTTTAAGGTTAATTTTCTTTTAATTTTGTATAATTTAAGTGTTATTTTGTTGATTTATTTCTTAAATTGTTAATTTTTGTTAATTGTTAGGTTAATTAATTGATTTATTTGTTAAATTGTTACATTTTGTTAATTGTTAGGTAAAATTATTAATTAATTATTATATAAATTTAATTAGAATTATTTTTAATTAATTAAGTTAATTTTATTTATGTTTACTTAATTAGTTAATTTTGTTTAATTAGTTGTATTTTAATTTTATTTACATTAGAAATTGTTAATTAATGGTTATTTTAAATTTGATTTTGTTAGATTTAGAATTAATTAAGTTAATTTGATTTATAATTAATTAATTAGTTAGTTTAATTTTGTTTAATTGGTTGAATTTTAATTTTACATATATTATAAATTATTAATTAATTTTTATTTTAAATTTAATTTGGTTAGAATTAGAATTAATTAAGTTAAGTTGATTTGTGCTTAACTAATTAATTAGCTTAATTGTGCTTAATTGGTTGAATTTGAACTTTATTTAAATTATAAATTATTTATCAATTATTATTTTAAATTTAATTTGGTTAGAAATAGAATTAATTAAGTTAATTTGATTTATAACTAATAAGGTTAATTTTGTTTAATTGGTTGAATTTTAATTTTACTTATATTAGAAACTATTAATTAATTATTATTTTAAATTTAATTTGGTTAGAGTTAATTAGTTAGGTTAATTTTGTTTAATGGGTTGAATTTTACTTTTATTTATATTATAAATTATTAATTAATTTTTATTTTAAATTTAATTTAGTTAGCATTAGAATTAATTATGTTAATTTGATTTATATTTATTTATTTAATTAATTAGGTTAATTTTTTTTAATTGGTTGAATTATAATTTTATTTATATTAAATTTTTTTAATTTATTGTTATTTTAAACTTAATTAGGTTAGAATTAGAATTAGAATTAATTAAGTTAATTTGATTTATAATTAATTAATTAATTAGGTTAAGTTTGTTTTATTGGTTGAATTGTAATTTTATTTATATTAAAACTTGTCATTTTATTGTTATTTTAAACTTAATTAGATTAGAATTAGAATTGATTAGTTTAACTATTTTATATATAATTATTGAAGTATGTCAAGATAAGTCATAGTGTATCGAACCCAAGAGGTTGGAGACCCTCGGGAATTGAGAAGAAATAAGATTGGTTCAATCCTCTACGATGGAGTTGGGAGGGCAAGTTTGAGATTTAATTTTGATGGAGTATCCGAGACAATCATTGGTCTCGATGTACTCAAATTGATTGTTGTTTGATTTAATTTTAATATTTATGTGATCATTTGGAGTATATATTAATTGAAAAAGATGCAATATATAGGGGAGACTCTATCGAAATTTTATTTAATTTATAATATATTTTCAGTCGAATTGTTATTCATTTGTTAAACTATTTCACATGTTATTCTTAAGTTATGCCTCATGAATTAGATAGATTTGATTGTGATGTCAACGATGGTGGCTTTGATGTTGATCGTGTGACTTATAGTGACGATGTATGTGAACGTGGCACTCGCTAGTGCAAGTGTTTAGGACCGCGAACATTATAGTTGTTATAGAATTTGGAACAAACTCATGTCTCTTCTATCGACCCTCTCAAAACCCACGATTCAACCATTCCTCTCACCACCAAGTAGCCGAAAGATGATGCGAGAAGATGATGATTATAAGGACTAGATTTCTTTTTTTAAAAAAAAGTTTTTAATGTTTTTGTATACCTTAACGTATTTATATATTTATTTTATTTTTTTAAATAATATATTATATTTTAATATGGTGTTGTTTATTATTATAATTAACAATAGACGGCTATTGATTAAGAAAATTAAAAATTTCTTTGTTTAGCGATGTAATTGCGAGGATATTTAATGATGGATATATGTACGAGTTACTAAATAATGATAGATTTACCAAAGAAATTACGAATATTTTAGCAACTCCAATTCCCTCACTATGTAGTGATGGATATGAGTGAAAATAGTAATGGCACGTCAACAAATAAAAAATCTTACGGACAATTGTTTTAGATCGATTTAGCGATGAAAATTTAACAAATTAGCGACAAAAATCTATCGCTAATCGGTGATAGAAAAAAATTTTGATCTCTAAGGAAATAACACCCACCACATTAGTGACAAAATTCATATTATCTCTAATCCGTCGTTAACTATATATAGCAATTGATTTTTAACATATACCGATAAAAAAATCTATCACTATATGCTGAATTTCTGATAATGCATGTTAATACTGTTAAATAGTAGTCATTACTTTATATAACTGCAACTATTTGAAGCTATGCTGATACTTTTCTGAACCAATCAAACTCTAGACCTAACAAATTCATATATGAAAAGAAATTTGGGGATGGCAAAATTCCTGATCTTATAAGCATCCGATGGATTAAATCCAACGTGAGGGGACGAGTTTGGGGTATTTCTGTTTTTTTTTTCCACCAACCTTGAGAGCCTCAACTAAATCTATTAGAAAATAGTCTGATATTATAATAAAATCAATGACAAAATTTTCTAAATTTTAATAGTTTATATATTTGTAAGTAAATTCATTTTTGTTATAATTA